TCTGAGGGCAAGTCTTCACTACGGGGGGGGGAAGGGGGTCGATTTAAGATATTCGCGTAGCTGAATTCGACGTATCGGAGCCGACTTACCCCCCTGTGAGGACGGCGGCAAAATCGACCTCCGCGGCTCCCAGTCGACGGCGCTTACTCCCACCTCCGCTGGTGGAGTAAGAGCATCGATTCGGGGATCGATTGTCGCGTCCTGACGAGACGCGATAATTCGATCCCCGAGAGATCGATTTCTACCCGCCGATTCAGGCGGGTAGTGTAGACCTAGCCTGATTCTCTTTCAGCATTGCCAGAAGCTGGGAATGAGCGACAGGGAATGGATCACTTGATGATTACCTGTTCTTTTCATTCTCTCTGGGGCACCTGACATTGGCCACTGTCAGAAGACAGGATACTGGGCTAGATGGACCTTTGGTCTGACCCACTGTGGCCGTTCTTATGGATGAAAACCATGATAACTCCTATTAGAAGTTATCCTGCCATACCTGTAGAAAGATGCTATTGGCAAAAACTCAATTTGTTCAGGTATTTTGGATTGAAGACAGGATTGCACATAGTGGATTATGACACACATTACTCTAAGGTAAGGACAACTATTCTGCTGAGCATTTATTCTTGCCAAGAGAATAAGATTAGTCAGATTGGCAGGTGGTAGTCTGGAAGGCAATGGAGTTATCTGTTAGACTGCAAGAGAAATACCAAACATATGACAGGTCAAGGTCATTAACATTTATTTGTGTTCTCCCATTCAGAGCAAAGGTTTGCAGTTGGGAATTAAGATGAACAATGTCAGTTGTACTGGATGGATAAATGGATAATGATGAGGATCAGACACCAAGCTGTATGCAGCGTGCTGTGTCTGTCAGATGAGGTTGACAGGCTCACCGTACGCCTGGGTTGAAATGACCAGGGAATGAAGTTGGTTAATATTATAACTCGCAGTGATATAGATATTGCTTTCATTAAGAATTTCTTAGCAAGTGCTGGATGGCTCCAGCTTGACTATTGAGTATAGATTCTGACTCAGGAATGCAACAATAATCAAGATCAGAGACTGTAAACCTCACAGAGGACTTGCCATTGGCTGTGATATGCTGGTGGCAGAACACCTGGGTTATCCTGTCCAGACAATGTCTGCTTCTCCAACATTGGAAATTATATTTTCAGCCAGAAATTATTAAATGCACCAGAGATGTGAATTTACTGCCGAAGTGAGAGACAAGTCTCCATCTACCCTTCCTCTGTCTCTTTCCTGGCAGCTGCTGCTGGGAGGGAACGGAAGAGGTGTCTGCTCCTTTATCCCTTCCTGAAACTCAGTTTAAGTTATTTGGGTTATTTTTCCCTGGGAATAAATCCAATGCCGTTCTACTGCTGCCCACAGTTTTCCCAAGCAGCAGCACTGTGCAGTAATGCATAATTTCTATGCTGCTGACAGATTTAGAGTAGCAGCAATTAATTTCTCTCTCCTGCTGCTTGATCCAGCTACAAGCAATAGCAAAAAGCACGGGGGCTGCTGTTGGAAGACAACACTTCACTGATTTATGCTCAGATCACAGTTGGAAGGTTATCGTCACAACCATAATGGCTAGAAACGTATTTTTGTAATAAAAGCTTAGATTTATAGGAATTCATTAAGTAGGTCCCCTCATTCCCTTTGGCCAGATTCCTGCCTACTTGGAGCATGTGGATTTTTTTAAACACTGCTCAGGGCCCTATTTCTTGCTCCCCAGTAGCTGGTGGCCCAATAAATTGCTGGGAGAAAATGAATATGATTCTCAGATTTTTTGAATACAAAGATTTTGGGGCAGAAATATAAAAAAGAGAGTTTATCGCTTTCACTTCTCCAAAAGTTTAATCACACAAGTGCCTGCGATAAGAATTCTCTGCCAATATTTCTTATTGACTTAGTAGAAGAGCAGCACCAGTCCTAACTGCAGAATTATAGACTAGGAGCATAATCCTGCAAAGTTCTGAGCACCCCATTTCACATTTTAAATCAATGGGAGAAGAGGGCACTTAGCACATCGTAGGGTCTAGTTATACGTGTCTAAGATCAGTACAATGAAAACTTAATATTGGGTACAAACAACCCATCTTACTTTGGACTGTTCTCACATTCAATATTGCCATTTTTATTTTCTAAACTGGAGTGTGTCTTTAAGGCCGTGGTCTTGCAGTTCATTTGCTTTCTTGCCATGTAGAAAAAAGTTTGCTATGATCCTTAAAAGTAGGAAGTTCCAAGGCAGAGAGGGATAACAAGAATGGTCGCATATCTGCCCTAAGCAAGTAGCCTCGCAGAGGGGAACTCTCCGCCAGCTCTGCTGTCTCCTGGTCTAGCCCACCATGATGTATGTGGAGGCAGCCAGGAGGAGGGGGAGGAGGAGTGGTGGAGCAGAGCTCCACTATTTTTAATCCTTCACTGGCAGAAGGTCCATTAGGCATCTGTGGTGTAAATTAGAATGGGCCCCCAGCTGCTCCTGCCTTCTCTGGGGCAGGCAGCCAGAGATCAAGAAGCTGTGATGAGCTTTGTGTGTGCAGCTTGGACACAGTGAGAATGATGGCCTAAACCGAAATACTTGGCAACTTACTAGGTCCCTTGAGACCTTTTATTTTCAGCAGTTTCTTGCTAATATAAGGTCTTGGTAACTTCCCCAAATTCCATATGCCAAGTGGCACATCAGTAACCCCCAAGTTGCCCGGGGGTTGGCCAGAAACTCTCAAACACCCTCATTTGGTCTATCTCAACTCAATATGCCTTTGGTTTAGTCCTACTTCCCAGTCTGATCCCATTCTTCTCAGGACAGATCCCGTCTGATTTTTCTAAAGTCGTCTTTCAAAGAGCAGTTTCAGTTTCTAGTTCATTAGTTCTGGGGCTTGCCTCTCTGATGTGGTAGGCACAAGAAACCAGCAGCAGTCCATCTTGGAGCATAGCCCCAGTAGCTGTCTTCTATTGTTTTTATGATTATTATTTATTATTTGCATTGTGATGGTCTGCTGAGTCCCCACTCAGGTTTGGGACCCTATTGGTCTGAGGGTACTAGCACATGTCTGTCCACCCACACTGGGAACTACACTTCCCAGTGGCTATGTAGCCATACCCTGAGTGCTGTATGAACACACAAAGTGACACAGCCCCTGCCTCGAAGTGCTTACAGTCTAGTATAAGACAAAACACCACAAAGAGGCTCAACAAACAAGTGGAAGGGATCGTGTTTACAGAAGTCTCCATCCAAAAGAGTCCCTCTAATTGCATTTGTTTTTCAGTTTTATTGACTAGTTTTGGTAACAATCCAGCCTTAAAAATGCCCAGTGCAGGAAAGATTTTTAAAAAGATATAGTTACAAACCTTTGCAAAAGAAATAACAATCCTGCCTTCTAAAAACCAGGGCAAGCACTTCAATACCAGGCATTAGTCAACTAGTAAAGTTCTGTTCAGTTTCTCCTTTTCCCCTGTAGGTGGCACCAGTATCTTCTCTCTCAGGGGCTCTTCAACTGGGATCCTATAAAGCAGTGATTTTCAGCCTGTGGTCCGCAGACCATGGGGGTCCGCAGACTATGTCTAAGTGGTCCGTGAGCAGTTGCCGTTAACATAGAACAGTGGTTTTCAATCTGAGGTCCAGGGCCTCTGCAGATTATGTCTAAGATTTCAAAAGGGGTCCATACCTCCATTTGAAATTTTTAGGAGTCTGAAAAAAGGTAGAGAACCACTGCTATATGGTATCTCTTACATATATTAGAAACAATACAAAACTGAAAACCTTCGTCTAATCCCCCCTCCACCTCCCTGAACTTTGCAGGCTTGGATAAAATGGATGCGGATAAAAACCTTATTTTGTTTGGGTACTGCAAACCCTTTGCACAACCAAAACCACCCCTTGTTTTGTCTATATATATCATGTATATATGTTCAATATGGTTTGTATTTGTTTTGTTTTGTTTTAATAATTCTTCCAGAGTCATGTGGAAATTATTACAATTTTCCATTGCTCCCACAAAGTGAATCTCTCCTGGAAATCCCTGTATGGGATTATCCTTATGCAGAGACCTTCCTAAATAAACACATTTTGAATTCTATTAATTCTAAATTGTTTGAACAAAACTTTTATTCTAATTGTCTTATGCTTGACTTTGGTTTTAAATTTCTCCCTAGTTTAAAAATATATTTTTGTTATCTTTAGAATTATGTTTTGTGTTGTTTTTAAAATTAATTTTAAATTCTTTAAATACTTTTATAAAACTAAAATCTAATGTGTTATTATGGAAAAAGAACCAATCAATGTAACTGTTTTACTTAATAATATCCATGTTAATTTCAGGTGTTGGCTGTATGGTAAATCACATGAATGAGAAAAAAATGTGTCATTCTTCCACTCACAGAGAGATATACACACCCATATTTGATTCTCACATAGAGAGTAACTATGTTCTGTTTTAAATTCCACCTACACTAAATAAGTTACAGTAATACACACCTATGTAAAGTAGGATTGATATCATTTTGGTTATCTGCTGAATCGTGCCTACAAAAATAGTTGGAAAGGAATACAATGTAAATAAACATTTCTGATTGATAGGATATTGAGTCTTTTAAGTAACCTGGAACTATCTTACTTCATGCTACAAGCATATCAGATTACACAGACCAAAACAGAGAAAAATTGAATATTGCTGTATTTCTTGCATTTATTTTTTCCTACCTAAGACTTTGAGTTGAAAAGTGAAACATGCTCTATTTACTTGTATCAAATAATATTTTGTTCATTCAAAGAACAAGTTGCTGACTTGCCTCTGTAGACTTGTGTTACAAGTAGATACTGAAACAGCAGTTTTGAAAATTGTAGATTACTTTTATATGTTTCTGTCACTTTTCTAGTGTGACTTTTTTAACCAGGAGTGTCAATCAGTTGCTATGAAAAGTCAGAAGTAGGGACTAGGCAGAGAAGATCTGCATTATTTTATTGTTTTCATGCCACTTTCTCTTTTCCTTTACAGGATACATACCCAGTTACTTAGACAAGGACGAGCTATGTGTAGTATGTGGTGACAAAGCCACCGGGTATCATTATCGCTGCATCACTTGTGAAGGATGCAAGGTAAATAGCCAGGGTGGGAAGTTGGGACCTGGAAATGGCACTCCAGTTCATGTTCCAGTCACATAAAAGCTACTGTACTTGGCTGTCACATAAAATATAAAGGCAGATTAGGAGAGAACAAGAACATCTTTTACACATAATAATCCAGGTGACTGGTTATGTTACTGATTCTTATTTGCATCACGTATATGGTGTATTTTTGCAGACAGTTCATAACTGAAAAGAGGACAATACAATTATATTTTTCTAGCTTAAATTTTAGGAGTCTGTTTTCTATTTTTAAAAATATGTTTGACTAGATTCTTACCTGTTGCAAAACAATATACTTCCATTAGCTTCAATGGAGCTATGCTAAATCACACCAGGAAAGAACCTCATCCGTTGGTATGAATTATTTTTGACAAATGCCAGTATTCCAGTGTCTCTGATAATTATTGTAAAAAAAAAAAAAACCAACAACAAACAAACAAAAAAACAAACAAAACCCCCACACAGGCACTTGCAAACACAACATGAAGTACTGTATTTTAGAATCTATTGCCACTAATAAATGATGCTTTTTTCTTTTACTGTTTTACCTTCTATATCATGACTAATGATATATACTTTAAACCATGAACTGTATTTATAAAATTATATGAACAATTGTTTGTTTGTTTGTTTGTTTTAAATGAAGACAGAGATTGTTTCAGACAAACAAATGTAAAAAACTGCATGGTACTGGCATGTCCTTTTAAAAGAACTCCTTCGCTGCAGTGAATTCAATTGAATAACACTGAGATCCTGTAAACAAGATATTCCCTTCCTGCAGAAAAGGAGGCATTTTAAGAAGACAGGACCACACAGTACATACTCTGGTGTCATACAAAGAGATGGGTGAATCACAGGAATCAGATGCAGATCTTTATTTCCCAAAAAATGTAGAGTATTTGGATCTGAACTCTAGGGTCACATGTGTGTCGACAGGTGGAGGGATAGATAGGTGTATATTTTATTAACATTTTGTATTTTTAACACCATTCAAATTAGTAATTACCTGATCAAGAATAGCATGTGTGTTAATTTCCACAAACCAACAACAATTGCTCATAGTACCCATTCTGTACTGAGAGCAAGGTCTGTCCATTCAATCTTATCACACATATTATGTTGTTAACATCATTGTTTTCCCAAAGTCTCTGCACAATATACTTTTTAAATCTTTCTATTGAACAAAAAAATAAAAATAATAATCCAGCAGGTTACAAGCAATACCAGCTGAATTCAAGAGTACTAGGATAAAACATTAACACTCATGTTGAAATCATTTCTTAAATTCTGCAACATTGCCCAGCCTTATTTATGAGAAGACAAGAACCTACATATACTATATATAGTAGGTTTGTGGTAGCATATGTTGGGAGTGGAGGGTGTTAAAAAAATTTTTTGGAAAAGTTTGCTGGACTGAACTAATGATTCTTACGTACTCACTTCCCCTAAACCCAGAATACAAAATAGGGCACAACTTAATCCAGCTACGCCGCTGTAAACTCTCTAGTATAGCCATAGCCTTATAATGTAATGTGTTCCTGGGCCCTATTCAGCCCTCTGGTATGTGTGTTAAGCAACTCCCAGTGAAGTCAAGGGAAGACCCACACATCCGAAAGGAGCAAAATTTGGCTGTGTGTGTAACTAGTTATCTGTATCAATCTACACATATATTATAAAGAATAGGTAGAATAAAAAACACCAACATTGAAGAACAGGCTAGACTGTGACTGGTGTTTGCATCCTATAGAGCTGATGGGAATGTTTTTAACTAAAAGTTTCTGAGCAGTGCAAAGGGGCTGGATCAGAAACCAGAATCTGAGTAGCTTATTTGGGTAAGAATGTTAAAAATTATAAAGCCAAAGCCACACTAACGACAAGAAGCATTTGGGGAAGCTAAACCTTAGCAATGCATTCTAAGGCTCCCCAGGGGTCATATACCATCTCCTCCTTTAACCATAATTACCCAGAGTTCCAATGTATGCTGATCTGCAGAGCTGCTTTCTATCTCTTTGGCCTCCATCCCTCTTCACTTATACCACTGTAATGAAAGAGGAGCTTCACTTAAGTCAATGGAGCTACACCAAGAGCAAAACCAGCATAAGTAAGAAGAGATTCAGGCTCTCTCTTCCTATTAAAATGTGCATTCATTATGGGATTGAGAATGTGTTCAAATCCAGTTATTTGTTTTGGGGTCTGATCCCAAGCCCAAAGAAGACAGTGGAAGCCTTTCCATTGATGTCAGTGGGCTTTGGCTCATGCCCACAGGCCCTGATGCTGCAAAGGCTTCCAAGCATGCGTAATGTTATGCACTGTGAAGAGTTCCATTGACTTCAAAAGCCTGATCTTCACTAGGGAAAAAAGGTATGTTCTTAACTCAAGCTAGCTAACTCGAGTTAACTAACTTGAAGTAAAATTCTATGGAGACAAGGCAGTTTTTAGTGTTCACATGAGTTAACGGGTAGAGTTAAAGATTAGGCTCCCCCATAACTTTAACTCAACCTGTTAACTCATGTGAATGCTACAAACTGCCTTGTCTTCGCTAGGATTTTACTTAGAGTTAGCTAACTTGAGTTAAGAACGCACCTTTTTCCTTGTGATGTTATACCCAAAAGACTACTCATTGGGTAAAATCCTGACTCCACTGAATTTCACCCACTGTACAAAAAAATTGAGCACATGTGCAGGTCTTTGCATGGTCAGGGCCTTAGGGTATGTATACACAGCAATAAAAGATCCACAGCTGGTCTAGGTCAGCTGACTTGGACTCGGAAGTCTTCGGCTGCAGGGCTAAACATTGCAGTGTAGACATTCGGGTTTGGGATGGAAACTGAGTTCTGGGTGGATCTCAGAGACAAGGCTGTGGTCCAAACCTGAACATCTACACTGCAATTTATAGCCCGCCCCCCCCTCAAGCCCTGTGACACTGAGTCAACTGCCTGGGGTTCTGAGACTCAGTGCTTCAGGTTTTTTAGGTCCATAATGTGCGTGGTAGCTAGAGGCAGGCCCAAACTGTTCTCAGACTATGGAGAGATCCTCAGCTAATGTAAATCATTGATGTCAGTGGAGCTACATCAATTTATGCCAGCAGGCCCCAAATTCATACTGCAATTGGTGGTGATAATCTTACATGTGACATTTTGTCCTGACTACAAAGGTAGGCATAGGTAAGGGTGTACTCATTTCCTCAGATTTATAGTCCACTTGAAAATTATGGGTTCAATATTTAGGTTTGAGCTTAAAACTTCTGATGGGCAAGTTTTGTTTAGCTCTGGCAAAATGCTACTGCTGCATGTTTTTGTTTTTAATTCTCTAGGTAGCCTTAATTACTTTCACACAAGCATCTTGCGCACAAGCAGATGTTTCCCTTTAGTCAGAAATAAATGTTTTAATTTAGAGATGGGCCTGAATCAAACCCCCAGATTCAAATGCTCTTGGGCTTTTGGGAGGTCTGAATCTCAACCTGGATGCAGATCAGAATTCCTTACTTGGCCTCTGTGTTTATAATAGGACTCTTCGAAAACACCAGCTCTGAACACACTTTGTGGGTGGTTCAGAATCTGAGTTTAGATGCAAATACTACAATTGGTACCTCTGTCAAAAAGAGGCAAACCTAACACCCTGCATCTGAACAGTACCCCACCCACATTTGGATCTGAATTTTACATCTCAGGTCTATCTCTAGTTTTAATTTTAGGGGGAAATGTTTCTCGCAACCCAACAAAGTAAGGAGCCTATATTAGAGGATTGATGTACTCATTAAATATCCTAGAACTTATGACACACAATATTCCATCTTGCATACATGTTTGCATCAGTACCAAGTCCAAGTACCTTTCAAAACCAAAAAAACAGAACACTAATGCTTCCTGAATTTTCTTTCCCACTTAGGGATTTTTTAGAAGAACCATTCAGAAAAATCTCCATCCAACCTATTCCTGTAAATATGAAGGAAAATGTGTGATAGACAAAGTAACAAGAAACCAGTGTCAAGAATGTCGCTTCAAAAAATGCATCTATGTTGGCATGGCAACAGATTGTAAGTAGATTTCTTTTTTCTTCTTTTAATTTTGCTCTTTGTTTAAAATGTATTGACTGGTGAAGATTGCTTGAACATAACAGAGCCACCAGAAATTTTTCCCTTTTATAATGTAGTCTTTGGAAATTATGTTTATTATTATACCAAACTATTTCTATCATAGGGGGGTAATATTTTGTTTACTTTTAATAGATTGGACCTTCTCTTGGCCTTAACCACATTATGTAACATGAAGGATGTTAATTTCTAGTGTGGGAGAGGGAATCCATTTGGATAGATGCCTTGCTGGAAAAACATCTTGTTAAGAAATTTCTGGAGAATGTGAAGTTGAATGTCTTTGTATGAGTCATCCTGTAGTTGTTTATTTTATTTTTAGCCATAAAGAACGTATGTACTGAGAGAGAGTGCTACTCGAATTCTAGAGAACCAGGACATATGGGTGCAAGATTAACCCTTAGGGGTCTTGTTTTCCCATCATTGCACAGGGGATTTACACCATAACTTCAATTAGTATAAATGGGAGTGACTTACATAAATCCCCCCATGCATTAGTTAATGGTTGTTACCAGTGTAATCCCCTGCAGAAAAACAAAGTGAGAAAAGACCCATTAAGGAGAAATTACATAACTAAAATGTGCTAAGTTTGTTTGTCCTAATAGGAATTATAATGTTTTACATATACATGGAAGCACAGAGGTGCTGACTAGAATGAAGTACCTGTCGTTTCATCATTCCCAGTGAAAACAGCATGAGAGGGGACTGGATGGCTCTAGGCCACCAGTTCAGATCCAGCCTAGACTGGCAATGACCAAAAGTTACTACCATTGGCTGTTTAGTGGCTATTTAAAATGAGATATTGATCTCAGTTTGGTTCCTGTTAACAGATGTCAACACCACCATTAGCTGATAGTCCCAGTAGAGGAGTGAATGAGCATGACAGCCAAACTCTCCCTCTACCAGTAGAGGTGACCCTTCCAATTTAGAATTGATCCATATTACTGGGACATGGTACAGGAAGCGTTGCTGCTCCCTGTGTGGTACCAGTTATGGGCAAAACTTGCTCTCTTTTCTGACTTGAATAGTTCAATCTATTTAAATTGAACAACTCATGTGAGTAGGGCAAGGAGGATTTTGCTCTCTGTGGATAAACAGAGGTGATCCATCTCTAGGGCTGTCTAATGCGATATGTCTCACTAGGACTGGACTTAAAAAAGATTAGAAAAGCCTACAGGAATAAGGGTGAGGGGAATTGTTAGTGGTGGAAATTTATATGACCAAATAATATTCCAGGTCATTTATCATCTTTGTGAATTCACAGAACTTAGTCAACCTCTATACCAGGGGTTCTCAAACTTCATTGTACCACAACCCCCTTCTGACAAGAAAAATTACTACATGACCCCAGGAGCGGAGGCTGAAGTCTGAGCCTGCCCGAGCCCCGCTGCCCCGGAAGGGGGGCCAAAACCCAAGGGCTTCAGCCCCGAGGCAGGGGACTGTAGCCCTGGGCAGTGGGGCACAAGCTTCAGCTTTGGCCCTAGGCGGTGGGGCTTAGGCTTTGGCCCCGGGCTCCAGCAAGTCTAACACCAGCCCTGGTGACCCCATTAAATTGGGGTCCTGACCAGTGATGAGCTCCCAAAATCCTAAGAACCGGTTCCCTACTGGGTCCTCGGCGGCACTTCGGTGGCAGGGGGGTCTTCACTCGCTCCGGGTTTTCGGCGGCATTTTGGCGGCAGGTCCTTCACCCGGAGCGAGTGAAGACCCCCCCCCCTCACCGCCAAAGTGCCACCGAAGACCCGGTAGGGAACCGCGCGGTGAGTACAAGCCCCACGTGCCTGTCTCGCCCTCGCCACCCACCCATCCGACCCCAACCCACATCCTGCCCCCCTCAGAACCTGCAACCCATCAATCCCCCCCTCCTTGTCCCCTGACCACGCCCTCCCAGGACCTCCCACCCTAACTGCCCCCCAGGACTCCACCCCCTACCCAACTCACCCCACTCCCTGTCCTCTGACTGCCCCAACCCCATCCACCACCACCCCGACAGACCCCCGGGACTCCCACGCTTACCCAACCCTGCCTTTCCCCGGTAGAAGGGGCAGTAGAAGCAGGGAGCCCCGGGCCCTTTAAATAGCCGCGGGAATCCCGCCGCTTCCCCAGGGCTCTGGCAGCTCTGCGAGGGGGAGGGAGGGAGAGCGGGGGAGGGGCCGGGGGAGCCTCCCCAGCTAGGAGCTCAGGCGGGCCAGACAGGATGGTCCCGCGGGCTGGATGTGGCCCGGGGACCGGAATTTGCCCACCCGCCCGCCCCTTTAGGAACCAGTTCTACACCAGCTTCTAAATTTAGCAACCGGTTCTTGCGAACCGGTGCAAACCCAGCTCCAGCTCACCACTGGTCCTGACCCACTTTGGGGTCCCGATCCAGTTTGAGAACCGCTGGTCTAGAGGCAACTAGGAGTTTGTTATAGGAAAACCAGCACTTGCAGTTAAAACACATTTTCTGCAATAACTTCCTTGAAATGAAATCCTGCATTTAGGTTTGAAAATTACCCTTGCTCATGGTCAGTAGAAAGCTTTCACAGACAAGTGCCATCAAATTATGCAGAATTTAATGTCATTTACAAAATTTAAATTCTGGCCCTTTGTCTGCAACCTGTCAATAGGAGACAAATTGAAACAGAGGTAGTACTATCTTCGTGAACTCTGTCTGCAAACTTTAATGCCTCTACTGCTGCTCGTTGCTTTCCCAGATTGCACCAGTGGGAAATTGTCTAGTTTCCTATCAGTTAAACTGAGGATATTTGGAGTCCTGTGGACAATGGTGGGACTTACGAGGCAACAGGTTAATCTAACCCTGCAGCTTGGGGAAGCTATGAGCAACAGCGGAGGAATCCACTGGAGCTGTCCATATAGACTAGGGCTGTTCCCTTTGGAAGAGGGGTGTATTTTGATCTGGTCGATAGTCCTTTAGAGAGCCTGACTGTATTATGTAGACTGGCCTCTAAAACTCCTCTTGAAGGGGACTCTGAATATTTTATTGCTTTACATTCTGCCATGGTATAGACTTGAACTGCTGTCATCACTTGCTCCCTTTTGTACTCTAGGAAAGTGAGGTCTCATAGAGATCAAAATAGGGAGGCTGAAGAGAAGCTAGATTCTATCAAGGCAACAATAATATTCCTCTATAGTGCCTCTGTGACCCTCAAACCCTGCGACACCTTGGCTCAGACGTTGCTTGGGTCTCTAGATACACACCCCACTTCTGCAGGCAATCTCTGGAGCCCTGCCTCATTCCATAATTTTGTTTGCCCACATCCAATTTCATATAATTGGTATAGGTCAGGGGTTCTCAAACTTCATTGCACCATGACCTGCTTCTAACAACAAAAATTACTACACGACCCCAGGAGCGGAGGCCAAAGTCCGAGCCCGCCCAAACCTCGCTGCCCCAGGTATGGGGCCAAAGCCCAAGGGCTTCAGCCCCAGGGCAGGGGACTGTAGCCTGAGCCCCACTGCCCAGGGTTGACGCATGGGCTTCAGCTTTGGTCCTGGACAGTGGGACTTCGGCCCCAGGCCCCAGCAAGCCTAACACCAGCCCTGGTGACCCCATTAAAATGGGGTCGCGACCCACTTTGGGGTCCCGACTCACAGTTTATGAATCACTGCTCTACGCAATTATATTCTTGCTTCCCATTTTACCTCATGTCAGTTTATGAGACTGTAACATGAGCATTGGCTTGGCTGTTTTTTTGTTTTCTTTTCTTTTCTTTCTTAAGGAAAAAGAAAGACCCCTCATTTTCTAGCTTGGAGTACAGTAACAAGTGGATGGGGGGGTCCAATTTACTCTCAATCTTGCATAGTTTTACACTCTGTGAGCGGACCCATTGAACATAAAGGGACTCCATTGACAATAGTGGGACTCCATTGGAGACAATGGCACTACTCTCAGTGCATAAAGTTAAGCACATGTGTAAGTAAATCATTCAGGATCTAGAGAGATAAGTGTGGAGGTAAGAAAGACTAGCCCTGCTACCTACCAGGCTGGCTGATAGACCTCTTCACCAACTGCCTTGTCAAGTTGTTTCTAGTTCTTTCAGCACATCTGGCATAGGTCAGACTAAAATTCAGACAATCCCAAGAGCAGGCGTCCATTTTGTTACTTTTTATTTTGTTTTTATTCCTGATAGTGGTGCTGGATGACAGCAAGCGGTTAGCAAAAAGGAAGCTGATAGAAGAAAACCGAGAGAAGAGACGTCGGGAGGAGCTACAAAAAACAATTGGGCACAGACCCGAGCCAACAGACGAGGAATGGGAGCTGATCAAAATTGTCACTGAAGCACATGTGGCCACCAATGCACAAGGAAGTCACTGGAAACAAAAAAGGAAATTTCTGGTAGGAACTGTAACCTTGTACTCTGCTTTTGTTGCCAGTTTCTTTTATTCCCTCATAAGCCTCTTCCCAGCACTGTTCCCCCAAATTTGTTTGTATGTTGACTGGTGAGCTGTATGAAAAATCACATGAACCTCATAATTAGTGATTGCCAACTTCTGTGAATCTGGTCATCTGATCAAACTATGCAGCTAAAACGGGAACCAGAATGATATTGAGTAACAAACACAGCAGTTGGATCCCACTGTTTTGGTAGAGTAAGGAAAAATAGAAAAAAGAACAGGAGTACTTGTGGCACCTTAGAGACTAACAAATTTATTAGAGCATAAGCTTTCGTGGGCTACAACCCACTTCTTCGGATGCATATTGAGTGAAACATATATTGAGGAGATATATATACACACATACAGAGAGCATGAACAGGTGGGAGTTGTCTTACCAACTCTGAGAGGCCAATTAAGTAAGAGAAAAAAACTTTTGAAGTGATAATCAAGATAGCTCAATACAGACAGTTTGATAAGAAGCAAGTGTGAAAATACTTACAAGGGGAGATAGATTCAATGTTTGTAATGGCTCAGCCGTTCCCAGTCTTTATTTAATCCTGAGTTGATTGTGTCTAGTTTGCATATCAATTCCAGCTCAGCAGTCTCTCGTTGGAGTCTGCTTTTGAAGTTTTTCTGTTTTAAGATAGCCACCCGCAGGTCTGTCATAGAATGGCCAGACAGGTTAAAGTGTTCTCCCACTGGTTTTTGAGTATTATGATTCCTGATGTCAGATTTGTGTCCATTAATTCTTTTGCGTAGAGACTGTCCGGTTTGGCCAATGTACATGGCAGAGGGGCATTGCTGGCACATGATGGCATATATCACATTGGTAGATGTGCAGGTGAACGAGCCCCTGATGGTATGGCTGATGTGATTAGGCCCTATGATGGTGTCACTTGAATAGATATGTGGACAGAGTTGGCATCGGGCTTTGTTACAAGGATAGGTTCCTGGGTCAGTGTTTTTGTTCAGTGATGTGTGGTTGCTGGTGAGTATTTGCTTTAGGTTGGGGGGTTGTCTGTAAGCGAGGACAGGTCTGTCTCCCAAGATCTGTGAGAGTAAAGGATCATCTTTCAGAATAGGTTGTAGATCTCTGATGATGCGCTGGAGAGGTTTTAGTTGGGGGCTGAAGGTGACAGCTAGTGGTGTTCTGTTATTTTCTTTGTTGGCCCTGTCTTGTAGGAGGTGACTTCTGGGTACTCGTCTGGCTCTGTCAATCTGTTTTTTCACTTCAGCAGGTGGGTATTGTAGTTTTAAGAATGCTTGATAGAGATCTTGTAGGTGCTTGTCGCTATCTGAGGGATTGGAGCAAATGCGGTTATATCTTAGAGCTTGGCTGTAGACAATGGATCGTGTGGTGTGTCCTGGATGGAAGCTGGAGGCATGTAGGTAAGTGTAGCGGTCAGTAGGTTTCCGGTATAGGGTGGTATTTATGTGACCATCGCTTATTAGCACAGTAGTGTCCAGGAAATGGACCGCTTGTGTGGATTGATCTAGGCTGAGGTTGATGGTGGGATGGAAATTATTGAAATCATGGTGGAATTCCTCAAGGGCTTCTTTTCCATGGGTCCAGATGATGAAGATGTCATCAATGTAGCGCAAGTAGAGTAGGGGCGTTAGGGGACGAGAGCTAAGGAAGCGTTGTTCTAAGTCAGCCATAAAAATGTTGGCATACTGTGGGGCCATGCGGGTACCCATAGCAGTGCCGCTGACTTGAAGGTATATATTGTCCCCAAATGTGAAATAGTTGTGGGTGAGGACAAAGTCACAGAGTTCAGTCACCATCATCATAGGGCCTAATCACATCAGCCATACCGTCAGGGGCTCGTTCACCTGCACATCTACCAATGTGATATATGCCATCATGTGCCAGCAATGCCCCTCTGCCATGTACATTGGCCAAACTGGGCAGTCTCTACGCAAAAGAATTAATGGACACAAATCTGACATCAGGAATCATAATACTCAAAAACCAGTGGGAGAACACTTTAACCTGTCTGGCCATTCTATGACAGACCTGCGGGTGGCTATCTTAAAACAGAAAAACTTCAAAAGCAGACTCCAACGAGAGACTGCTGAGCTGGAATTGATATGCAAACTAGACACAATCAACTCAGGATTAAATAAAGACTGGGAATGGCTGAGCCATTACAAACATTGAATCTATCTCCCCTTGTAAGTATTTTCACACTTGCTTCTTATCAAACTGTCTGTATTGAGCTATCTTGATTATCACTTCAAAAGTTTTTTTCTCTTACTTAATTGGCCTCTCAGAGTTGGTAAGACAACTCCCACCTGTTCATGCTCTCTGTATGTGTGTATATATATCTCCTCAATATATGTTTCACTCAATATGCATCCGAAGAAGTGGGTTGTAGCCCACGAAAGCTTATGCTCTAATAAATTTGTTAGTCTCTAAGGTGCCACAAGTACTCCTGTTCTTTTTGCGGATACAGACTAACACGGCTGCTACTCTGAAACCTGAAAAATAGAAAGTACGTCTCACTCCTGATACACTGGTGTCAGTCCATAATATAAATAAAGTCTTTGTGTGTGCATGTGTATTCAGACACACTTCTCCACATATGGACTGATATCCAGCATGGCTTCAGGTAATAACACAAAAATCAGATTTTTTAAAAATTGTATTTTTATTGCCCCTTTGTTCAAAAATGAATACATTTATTTAAACAAAAGAAAATGCTGGGAGGAGGAATTAAGCTCGGCAAAAACAGGATAATACATATACTACATCACTGGGATTGCAAAATATAGACGGTCCCTGGGGACCTTTTTAGGGGAAAGGTCTATCTATTGAATAAGCTATAACTGAGATTCAGCCTAGAAAATAAAAGGAAGTTTGTGATGCTCAGCGCTTAAAAGGGGTTTGTTTCATTTCTGATTATTTTTCTAAATTTGAATTGTAAAGGAAATGAATGCAGAATACCAAATATTCCTGAAGCATACAAGAGTGATTAAAGTCATATGTCACAAATACCAAAGGGCCTCAAAGGAAAGTGAAACCTACTTCAGTCCAACGTGCACCAGACCATAGAATGACCTCCAAATGGAAATTCTCATATCTATAAGCACAGACACCTGCAGCGTACTCCACTGCACAAATCTTGAGCCATCATTAAGCCCACTACAGGAAGTTTTGCATTTGAGTCAGCTGATTGGTTTTTTGATGTTTACTCAGTTCCAACTGTGGATCACACATTTCTATATGTACGGTCACACACTGTTGTGTCAGGACATAAAGAAGATAACACAAAGACAATGAATATGCAAAGAGTGACGCAGTTGTTTTTGAAATTACTATGTAGCAAACTTTGCAGTTTGGTTTGGTTTAAAAGTGCAAGAACATGGATACTGTGTACTAAATTTTTTCCCCCTAACCTCCGTTGCATTAGTATGTTGAGTTACATAACATGTGGTTTTCCCAATTCTTTACAAATCAGATGCTTATGTGCTTTATACAGAGCACCAGTTTTTCTTCTGACAGAAGTTAGATTTTGATTTTGACTGATGGCAGAACTGTAGGAAAATCTTTGACATTTTGCTTTTAACAAAACCTATTAAGCCTGTGTTATTTATATTATTCAAACAGCAGTTTCAGCATCACTGTTCAAAGCTACTTCTGTAAATTTCATACACCTCAACTGTCTTGAAGGAGTTCTTCTCTAACTCCTGTGCAGTTTTAAACTTAGTAATGGAACAAAATGCTCCCTCCACATAGTGTTTGGCAGGTCTTTTGCAATTGCAAAGCCTTACTTTGAACACAGAAGAACAGCTTTGGATATGTGTGGGTTTTTTAAAAAAACAGAATAAAGTATGCAAGTCTAAATTCAACTGAGGTGAAATTCACCCCTCTGCAGGATTTCAGGATAAAGTTTATACATCATATAAGCCCCACTTAAATCCTCAAAATAGGACTTACATGTTGCATAAGCCTTTTGCTGAAGCCCTGCAGAGGAACAAATTTCAGCCTAAATGAGCAAATGTTTAGGGAGTTCTTGTTTGATCCAAACTAGCTCCAATTTCAGCCCATCCCTAGTCTCAGTCATGTTAGCTCACCTCTGTAAATAGGTCTTGGCAGTTGGCTTGTGTTCTTTGTGATGTTATAACATTATAACACTGGGTGGGCCAAGGAGCCCAATCCTACAGTGTGCTGAGCATCTTCTAGGTAGGAGGTAATGAGTATCTTCAACTCCCTTTGATTTCAGGGGAGGTTGAAGGTGCTGAGCAGTGGAAGGAGGCAGGATCAGCCCTAAATTTCCAAGCAGAAACACCTAAACTTCTCCCACGAAATATGCATAGACACAAACAGGTAATTGCATGTGTAAAATATGCAGCTGCCCACACAAAATGGGTGTAATGGCACACTGATCACCCATTTCTTTATGTAATCACCTATTTTACAGACAGCTGCACATTTTATGGCTTGTTTTAGAAAAATTGCCCCTATAGGTCCAGCATAAATAATGGTTAATGTTATTGTTTAATTTCATAGGAACAGAGTGGTGGACTTTATATATAATCCCTACCATATTATAAAAATTTATGAAAGATGACTTGAATGAAACAAGTTTTCCCTTTTAATGTATTTCTTAATATCTTTAGCCAGAAGATATTGGGCAAGCACCAATGGTTAATGCCCCAGAAAGTGGGAAAGTGGATTTAGAAGCCTTCAGCCAGTTTACAAAAATTATCACACCAGCAATTACAAGAGTGGTGGATTTTGCCAAAAAGTTGCCTATGTTTTGTGAGGTAAGAATTTCTTTTTTCTTTTTTTCTTTTTTTTTTTTTTGCTTTATGCTATTCTAAATGCCCCTGTCAAGAGAAACAATAGAAAGTAATGTCATTGTGACATGAAAACACACAAAATTATATCTGAGCCTCATAAAATCCCACCACTTCCTGTTGATTTGAACCATGCAAGAATGAAGTGAAGAGGTAAGACCTTACTAATCAGTTCACTTTGTTTTAAATCAGATGGCTTAGAAGAATAAAAAATAGGATAAAAATCATCTCAGTGTCATTTAATTTCCTGTTTCCTATGATCAACCAAATCCCCTTTTTGTGGTTTTGTATGGGCCTAAACCAGTGGCAAAATCAATAAATCTTCCCTATCAAGAAGGGCACTTAAGCACTTGCATAACTTTAAGAAAATACTTAAGGCCCATTAACCCACTGGGACTTAAGAACATGCTTAAAGTTAAGCATTTACTTAAATGCTTTCCTACGTAGGGATGGAGTTAAGTATGTGCTTTAAGTTCCTTCCTGAATCCAGGACTAAGATACCTCCCGCACTGTCTCATTTGTACTGGATGGGATGTCAGCAAAAACCCAGGCCACGATCTGTCCCTCACACGTCACCACGAGTGAAATGTAAGTTAGATGTACACTCCAAAAGAGTGGAGGCAACTAATAACACTTCACTCCAGAAGGATATTCAAATGTGAGATATACTGTAAGAGGAATATTTAAAATTTAATTTTAGTGTAATTAGGACATGCATAGGCCCTATTCTGATCTCACTCACACTGGTGCAAATCGGGAATGAATGTAAATTTGAGAGCAGTAAACGATGATGATTGCTCTCTTTACTTAAAAAAATGTTAACTTAAATTCTGGGCGGAATCGACTGGAAAATAACCTTGACATCTGAGAGTCTCCTGGGATCCACAGCCATGGAAGTTCTGTAGCAGCGGCCGACTGCCTCTCTACTATCCCATCCTGCAGAACAGCACTTGACCCCACTGGTTATATGCCAAGAGAATGACCTTGGAAATGACAGTGAGCCTGCTCAGGGAGATGATCCAAAATCCAAACATGGGAACCACTTCTTCCCCCATTGACTGAACATCAGTCAGGGAAGAAGTTCAAGGCAGGCACACCATTGTGCTCTTCCGTGACTGACAGCTCAATCTCTAAGGTTAGTCAAGGAGAGCTGTTATGTCAGGTAATGCCCTCTGCCTCCCCTGGCACCTACAAAAGAGAGTGCGGTAAGTATCAATAGCTGGCGCACTGTAAATAGCTCTCCCTGGCTAACCTGAGGATTGGCTCTGTCAGCCAAGAAAGCATGAAACAATGGCCAAGTATGAAGATCTAAAAATCCAAAGGGAGGCCCCTGCAGCACTCCAGTGTCTGAGGGGAGGTGTCTGCATCAATTTAGTGTTTGTGGTGGGAAGTTGCAGTGACATTCCAAGGCAGTCTTTTTAATTAGGAAACCTGGTCTATCAGACAACAGGCTGCAATGCCCATCTGACATCTCCTACCCCTCCTGGCCACACAGGGCCCACATGCTTCACAGTTTAAGCGAGTGGAAAGCATGAAGAAAATGAGTCAGGAGTTGTGGGGCACAACCTTTGTATGTTACACGTTTTGGCTAGGTCAGGCCTCCTTAGCAGCTGAGCCACCTTTTAAACTTTGCTCCTGCAGACACCAATATCTGACAATAGAATGAGAAACCATTCACAGTGAATACGAAGGGCCGGAAGAGCTGCCTTCTCATGTGGCCACAGATGTGGAATAAAGGAATGGGAATGGCAAACGTTAGTACTTATTTGAAAGGGACATAGTCTGGCTAAAATGATTCACTTTTTTTAAAATGCAGGTGTCTTTACTTCGGTTACAAATAATCCTGCCTGGGCCAGACTCTGGCTGTGAATCAGTTTGCGAGGAAAAGCCCTTCCCTTCCCCAGTCGGCCCCTGCACAAAGTTCAGACACAATCACAGTCCCTGCTGTCATGGGGCCAGAACTGACAGTGCAGCTAACCTCTGCAAAAGAGACAGAGCAGGCAAGGGCCATGGCCCTTTTCCCCCATGCCCTGCCTGCTGCAAGAGGGGATGCACACTGTATTTTTATTGTTTCCCTATTGCACTTCCCTCAGCTTGGACAATGAAAATAGACTGGGCACCTGCTAGTCAGTCCCAGTTTCAGAGGCTCATGGGTTAGTAGCATGGTATCAGAGTTGTCAACGGTCCCGGTTTGGCTAAGACTGTGCTGAGTTTTGCCAATGCAGTTTTAGGTCACTTCAGTCTCAAAATCAAATTGTGAGCCGCCAAGTTCATATCTGTGGCCAGCAGGGGGCCCAGTGAGATGAGCTCATCGTTCACAGTCAACTGTAGCTGCAGCCCCAATCTCTGGTGGGCATACATTGCTGCTGGAAGATGAGAGTCCTGATGCCAGTGCCAACATCAACTGCAGCGTGGACAGCCCGTGCTCCAGGCAGGCTAGGAGGAAGCCAGTCCTGGCCCTGGCAGGCAGGGTCCTACCTGGTCTGTCAGGCAGGCTCATTGCATACAGAGGTAGGATCCAAGTCCTGCCCAGCCATAAGGAGATAGGTGAGAAAATAGGGGAAGAACTGAAGAGGGTTAAAACAGGGGAGCAATGGATAGGCAAAGAAGGGTAGAGACAGGGAAGGTGTAGAGGGGAAGAATAGAGCTGGGAGGGAGTGGGGGAAGGGAATATTTGAAATAGACAAGGAATTATTTTTCATTGTCGGGGGCTGGGCTCCAGCCGCCAGGAGGTTACATGCTTTCTGATGAATTGCAGGTTATTTTCTATGCCCATCTCTCTTGCCCTTTTAAGGGGGAAAAGAGCTAAAAGAAACAAGTCCCTAAAACTTGCCAGAGTGGCCTCTCAACTTCCATCAGACCCAACCATGATATGCTACGGTGTGCAGGCTACTACAAGCACTGAGGGTGTTTGTTTCTTTAAGAAAAATAAAATGGTGGTATTTTTTAAACAAATTAAGTCAAGGAACCATTTCTATTGGTCTTCAGTTTAGTAAAACCTTATTTTTACAAAGCCTACTTTTTGGACACAATTTAACCTAGCAATGTCCCTTCAACCATGGCCTGTGCAGTGTTTCCTTCGGGCTTATGGGAAAAGGTGCACCATAAAGAAGTTACAAGGGGGTTACGTGAGAGGTGGGAGGGTAAAGGAATTTCTTTGTTTATTAGATCAGTGGAAAAAATAATGAGTTATTTGCTCATGTTATATCCCACTATTTACTTTTTTTTTCTATAAAAACAACAATTTTTTTCTATGTATCTCCCTATCCTGTGCTTTTTCTCTTTGTTTCTTTCCTCCTTCCTTGTCTCTCCAGACATTTCTCATTTTTCTCTTTATTCCCTCTCTGTTTCCCCCCCTTTCTTTCCCCCTCTCTTTTTTCTCTGCATTTGTCTCCCATTTACCATCTTCATATAATTGCTTTCTTTCTCCTTTTTTTTCTTTCTCCTTCTCTCCTCCCTTACTGGGTCTCAGCAGCCAAACCACAGCACTTCCTTTGGGAAGCTAAACTGCCACTTTCCCCATGCAGTCCATCTATGTGCAACTGCTGAGCTTGATGCAGAAGGAAGCTGACTTGCCCTGACTGGGACATGTCATTTTCCTTATGTATCTAACACTTTAGACCTGACACTGGCCACACAGCAAAAATAACTGTGCAATCCTAGTCAATTTCTCTTTTTCGCTGGCTCCATGTTTAAAACTCTTCTCCTATAGAACACTGCTTTTGCCTCTATTAGCCAATTGTCCATCATCCATGCTGTAAGTTTTTCTACCAGATTAAATGTAATCATTATGCAAGTGAGTGCACAACTGCCAAAAACACACATTTACTTCACTTGAGATTCAAAGTGAAAAAATCATATCTTAATGTGAACCAAAAATGAAACAGAGTTTCTCCTTTCTAGAACCCAATTAGGATTTAGCTTCATCTTCACGTAATTATCTACGTCATGTTTGCTGTTGACTTACAGTGACATCTTCAAAACAGTCTTGGAGATTTCACTCTTCTTTCATTATCATTTATTTATGTAGCTAGATAGTTTTATAGAAATGCTAAAAAGGGCACCTATTCCTACTATGCAGGCACCTTAGAAATAACATATAAATACAACCTAAGTGCAGTAATTCAGGAATTACCCTCCAACAAATCCTGCTCAAATAGTTCCCCATCTTTGGCATTACAATTCCCTCTCACTCCCTACACTTCCTCCCACCATTTTCAAACCCTGGGAAAAAGATGAGCCTTGCAACATGCCTTGAAGATAATGATCCAAATTCTGCTGTCAGTCACACCAGCATACCACTAAAGGCAACTGAGTCACACTGCTATAGCTGAAAGCAGAATCTGGCTCATTGTCTCTTATTAAATGCTGATACTTGATGGTTTCCAAAATATTACAGGGGGAGATTTCAAAAGTGATTAAAGGAATAAGGAACACAAGTCCCAACCACTTAGGCATTTTTTAAAAATCTCCTCTAGAGACAATATTTGTTTTACTACTTTTACTAAAAACCAGCCCACAATTATAGTTCTTCCCATGTGTGATCATTTCCCCCCCTATTCCTAGGTCAGAAAAGTAAGAGGTGCAGTATTGTTGTAACCAAAGAAACAACTGATAGTATTAATTTGTCGATTAAACCTTGCAAAATGCTTTTCAAATGGAAAGTGATATTATGAAAATGTATTGGGCTAGCTTTTCAAACCTGCTTAGCCTCCAGCAGCCCCATTGAGAACAGCACTTCTGAAAATCTGATCCCTTCATTTTAGTGCCTTAACGAGAGCTGAGGTCTTCTGAAATTCTGACCCATTAGTACTTCATTACGATGATATGATATATTAATTTCCAATGGAAATTGGGTGGAATGAACCCACTCAGAGGGATGGCAAAATATATAATACACACAGTTGTTAGCTTTTTCGGTGTGTCATTCATATTTGGGAGTATTTAGTCAATCAGCTGTATGGTGTGTAACAGGGTTAATAGTATATTTAGCAGCCCTGGATGTTTATTGAGAGTAACATGGATTTTATTGTATTTCAAAACTAAGTTTGCTTGAAAACCCTGGTTAGTGCAGACTGTTTCATTATCATGTGTAATCTCTGCAGCTGCCATGTGAAGACCAGATAATCCTTTTGAAAGGCTGCTGTATGGAGATTATGTCCCTCCGAGCAGCAGTGCGCTACGACCCCGAGAGTGAGACTTTAACACTAAATGGGGAGATGGCAGTGACAAGGGGTCAGCTGAAAAACGGGGGTCTCGGCGTAGTGTCTGATGCCATCTTCGACCTGGGCATGTCGCTGTCCTCGTTTAACCTGGATGACACGGAGGTCGCCCTGCTCCAGGCTGTGCTGCTCATGTCATCAGGTGAGAACGAGAACGTATTGGGCACCACCAGAGCTTTTATAACCACCCCGTGTGAAGTTCTGGTTCATTGTATCTGCGGCAAATCTCTCTCTAAAAAAAACAGAGGGTATTTTAAATATAGGAGCACTGGCTAAGGCATCACTAGAATGATGCAGCTGAAATCCTTGGTTATTGCATCACACTGGGGCTTAGAAACTATGTGGATGAGCACAAAAAAAAAAAACTTGATGATAGATAACGGTGGCCTTGGTCTCAGACCATGTGCAAACAGTGTAGAGGTCTGAGGTGGATTGGTTGTTCGAAAGGGATCAGTGATGTAGCTGAGTCTGGGCCAACATTCCCTGGCTTACAAATAGAGAGCCCGACATCAGCCATCCTCAGGCTAAGTTCTCTAAGGGCTGGGATTCACTACGGGGAGATCAATGCTGCTGCGATCGATGCAGCAGAGATCAATTTAGCGGGTCTAGTGAAGACCCGCTAAATCAATGGCAGAGCGTTCTCCAGTCGACTACGGCACGCCAGCTCTCCGAGAAGAGTAAGGGAAGTCGACCACAGATCATCTCCCGTCGATGCAGCGCAGTGAAGACACTGGAGTAAGTCGACCTAAGCTACGTTGACTCCAGCTACCTTATGGAGTAGTGTAACTTAGGTCGACTTACCCCATTGTGAAGACAAGCCCTAAGTGTCCTGCTCTTTTGCTCTAGCCCAGGGTGCTGTAACGTACAGGACTGAGAATGTGGTTCATGGGCAACGACAGACCTGGCAACTTGTGGGAGAGGAGGGGTTGAGACCACTTTAAGTCTTGAGTAGTGAACAATACATAGGGCAGGGGTTTACATTGACCTTCCTGATCATTTGCATTCATTTGACATTTCCACTGAAAACGTCTGAGTCTCTGTTTATTTTCCAAAGCCTTAGCTTGTAAAATAGTGATTTCAGAAGGCATTTCCATAGGAACGTCTTTCCTGAAAGTGACCTTTAAATGTTTTCTCATAAAGGAAGCATTTTCACAGCCAGACTGGCGCATTGCTTCAGTGCTGATTTCGAGGGAGGAGCACTGTCTGCTGAATTGCCAGCATCACTGAGTGCAGTTCATAGGTGTTCCTGGAGGCCTGCTCACCTTGTGCCTTCCCATGGGATTAGATAGGAGGTTAATCTGATAGTTAAGTTTAGTCTCTAGAAAGCATGTTATGATTTTGTTTTTTATGTAACCATGTGTTTCCAATATTCTTACTCACCATCTCCTGAATGTCTAGACTTTGATAATAAACTTATTCTTGTTTTCACTATAAATATATCTCAGTGCTGTGGTGTTAAGTAAAATACTGGTCCTGAGCTGAATCTTATAAGCTGCTGTACATATTGTTCCTTTGGGGACAGCAGACACAATGTTTCTATAAGTAGTCAAGGGCTGGATATCACAGGGAAATGCTTCAAAGGGACTTGGGGACTGGGGTGCACCTATTGTTAACCGGTAAGGACAGTAAGGGCTGACATGACACAGAGGAGAGTGCTTGGGTGGCTACAAGGCTGGTGATGTTAGAAAGCTAACATCCAGCTAAGCACAAGCAAGACTCACTGACACTGGACGCAGGGGGAACAAGGTGACTCACAGTCCTGGGTACCCCAAGTATTGTCACAGTGGTGTAGTCAGCAGGATGAGGGGATGACTTCTTTGCCTTCTACATAAATCCCCAAAGTTCTTTGTCGGTAGTCAGAGTACAGGCTAACCACCTGTGGCTTGTTTTGCATCTCTGCTTCTTCTCTGTTGACTTCACCTCTCTTCGTTGACTTTGTATGTAAATAGGCATCCATTGTGTTGGCTTATAATGCTTGATTTACATCCTGACAAAGAGACCAGTGAATAAACATCTCTTTGTCTAATAGAAAACCATTTTTTTCATCTCTGCTGGTGGCTAATACCTTGCTGCAGACTCTACGAGCATATCTTCAGTATCTATACAGAACTCCTTACCTAGTATCTGTACATACATTTCACAACGGCATTAAAGACCATGTGAGCAGGGTTTCATTTAAGATCTAACGTGACATTCTTTGGTGAACTAGAATGTACATAGCAGAATCAGGATATTTCTATATCCCTCTTGCCAGCTGGCATTGAGGGCTTCTTGGGTCTGGACTGACAGACAAAGAGTAGGAGGAAGGAACCATTACTATCTTTGGGGTACAGAGAGATTAAGTGAGCAAGGACACATGGGAAGTTTATGACAGAGCCAGGATTTGAACACAGATGTCCTGAGTCTCAGTCCAGTGCCTTTCTTAAATGGTCATCCTTCCTCTCTTGATTTTGATTAGGAATTTATTATTGTAAATGAATACATTCATTGTGTTTCTTTTTACCTACAGATCGCCCAGGTCTCCTCAGTGTTGAGAGGATAGAAAAATGTCAAGAAGGTTTCCTCCTGGCCTTTGAACACTACATTAATTACAGAAAACATCACGTTGCACACTTTTGGCCAAAACTGCTGATGAAAGTGACAGATCTACGAATGATTGGAGCCTGCCACGCCAGCCGCTTCCTGCACATGAAGGTGGAATGCCCCACGGAACTCTTTCCCCCTTTGTTCTTGGAAGTGTTTGAGGATTAGAAAGACTGGAGTGGTTCTCAGAATTCCTATAGCACTACTGGCTGTCATTTCATTCCATTGCCTAGCTCTTCTTCTGTTCTTTTTGTTTTGGTTTTTTTTTTTTGTTTTTTTTTTATAGACATTGATGAAAATGTCCCTTTAATGCGGGTACTTGTGACTATTGCATTTTGTCCTTCAGTCCCTTGATGTGAATGCTTTAACAGCTTAACAGTGAAAACACAAACAAACCAATCTTGATCACCAGCACTTAAGTGGTCACCAGCTCACATCCATCACTGCTTGGGGAAATGGGGAGATAAAATTGAAGTGGCAGAAAATAAACAGGCCTCCAAGGCAAAGCACTTTGCCCTGCCTTTTTCCCAGTATTACCTCATTTTGCAAGCCACAAGTGAGATACAGTGTATAGTTTTCCATGGTCATTCTAAGTGTAACCATTATCATTGTGACCTAAGAATACCATCATCACTGTGATTGCATCACATCCTTGGGATTATGACATGGATCATAAATATCTGTGTCCTCTACAATCAATTCTTTTTTCAAATACACAGTGGAGAGGAGGGGTTGATATATTTTTTTCATTTGTACAAAATGAGGGCAAAATCCTTGAGCCCTTGCTCAGTTAAAACTCTAGATGACTTCAGTGGGAGGTCTACTGGAATAAAGACTGAGGGCTTGATCCTATGAGGTGTTGAGCTCTTCCAACAGCAGCAGGGAGCCCTCAACTCAGGTTGACTTCAGGAGAGGAAATGAAGGGGGATGTCACATCAACATCCAAGTGGCACTGGAAGGGATGGGCACTTGGCAGGTCTCGGTATGCACTCAGCACTCTGCAGGAATGGGTCTTTTATCCTGGCTGCAGGATTTGCCCAGGGTTACGCAAAGATACAAATGATCACAGGGAGAAAAAAATGATTATGATGAACTCCAAATAGGATAGAAACCTACCCTATTACTAGTTATGCTCCAGACTGTACAGCTTTATCCCAGTAACATGTAGAGTATGTCTTGAGAGTAATCTCTGATAGATAAATACAAAGGAAACTTCAGCATCTGTCTTAAACATATTGCCGCCTTTTTGTACCTTTTTGTACGTGCATTTTTATTTTGATTGGCTAGATTCTCTCTCAATTCCCTGAAATCAATTATTTCTATTGACTGCACTAGTAGGAGCTGAACTGAGCAACAACAGGATGTCCTGCTGGTGAAATCTGCCAGCCAGCGCTCCTGGCACTCATTTGGGCCTTTTTCAAGGGCATTATGAGTAGAGATTCCTCTGTTTCATCCATCCTCATCACAGGGTGATAGTCTCTGAAGTTTTATAAACTCCAGGCCAGGCAAATCTCCTGGTTTATCTATAAGTGGGATACATCAGAAGGACATCCTCTTCCTGGCAACAGAAAAGATTTAGTGCAGCCTCAGACTATGTTTCATGCTCCCTCTGTTGCATTGTGCATTCACATATCAATAGATAACAAAAACAGAAGGAGGTATCTTTTCCTGCTCAACTAGACAGGCGTTGTTATAATTGGACATTCAAAGCTAAAGGCCCTAATCTAGCCCTAGGTGTTTGACTCGTGAAAATGTGGTACTAGGAAAACTTTCATTGTGGGCAAAACACCAGGGGAATTTTGAAATTATTTTCACTCCTGCTGCAGTGCGAAGAAAGCATTTGGAATACTAACGGTCATATTTTCAGCCAGGCTGAATCCCTGCCACTGTTTATTGGTGCAACTTGCATCTATACCTGCAATGAGTTGTGAGCATTAATCTTAGTAGTTTACATATTGGACTTCTAAGATTTGTGCCCAAAATTCCATGTGGGTGTAAAACACACAGGTGCATTTTTTTGCAGGCACAAGGGAAGCCAGGCCACTGGAAACTTGCTCTTAAATGTTTGGTTTTTGTATGAGGTTAAAAACACCTGTTGGCTCCCATTCTTCCACCTCCCCCCAAAGCAAATGTTTGAATGACACCATTCTCCAGATTGTTTTGCAGTAAAACCCAGAGTATGTCATGGGGTCAGGGACATCATCCAGAATACTGGGGGTTATACTTGGAATCAAAACCCATACAAAATAGTGAGAATGATGGGTTTGGTCCTGCAAACTCTTCCTCAGATGTGCAGTCTCAAGAAAGTCAGTCAGTAGTGTGAAAACTGCTCACACGAGTCAGGGCTTGCATGAGCAGATCCTAACTGCATGCATTAAAAGAAAAATAATTGCACAAATCTTAAAATCAAATTAGTTAGAATGACAGATATCTGTAGAAATTAAATAAAATAGTTGATCCATTTCTTGCTTCTGTTTTCCAGATCTGGTAAGCAAAAATAAAATGAAACGTACAAACCTTTTAGAGCTGTATTCTGCCCCTAATCTTTATGGGAAACGCCCACTGATGCCAGTGAGAACCCCACACATGCTCCTAAGGCTATATATGACTAATTTAGTGTACAAAAATTTGATTGTGCCGCAGGTGAAAGAGAGAGAAAAACACTCTTCTTTCTGGCAGCTACCAGTGTTGGCAACTCACAATTTTATTGCAAGTCTTGAGATATCTGCTGTTTTTCTGATAGCCCTGCTCTGGGAATCATGTTGTTACATGATTTTTTTACATCATGATTTTTTCTGGTGCTTTTGGTTGTAGAAAAAAGCTTGAAAATGTGAAACTCAAATGTTCAAAATGTAGAAGGCAAATAAGAACTCAAAACTGACAATTTAGAACTCTCGCGATTTTTAAGCCAATCTTGTGATTTTGGGGGCCTGGTTCATGATTCTTGAACCCTTGGGATTGGCAATTCTGAGTTATTCAAAATAAATAGCATAGAAAAGGTAAGAGTTGTACAAAAAACAAAAACAAAAAAGATTAGTCATCTGACTCAGGACTCAGGAAAGCTTCATCAGTCTGATCCAGCACTGAAAATAAACACTTTACAGGCTGGCTGCTGTTAAAATGGCTACTGGTACGTGAACCTGTCCCCATTAAATCTAACAAGCAAAGCAATGAGGTTTAAAAGTATTAGATTTAGTAGATTACACTATTGAGTGCCTGGAATTAGGCACTTAATTTGTATTTAAATGTCCGAATCAGTGGCTGAATTTCCAAGATGTTGACTTCATTGGGAACTGTGACTACTCAGTATCCTGAAAAATCAGTCCACCTCTATTTAAGTGACTAAACATGGATTTCGGTGCCTAACGCTAGGAAAACAAGCCTGAAAATGTTGGTGAGTGTTTTTAGCAATGAGTACATATAGCAGTATTTTTTTAACCCTTTTTTTATATTAAAGGTATGGGATCTGGCAGTAATTCATTGCGGTGAATTACCAGTATTTATCAATCCAAAACCAATATCCATCTTTTAGTTTAACAGATGTGATCTAGTGACATTTAAGGCCCTGATTCCATACCAATTTTACATTGTCTGACTTCATTAACTTCAGATTTACACCGGTGCATAATTAGAACCTATATTAGGCTCTGATATTGCAAATGCTTGCTACTGGACTTAGCCCCCCTTCCTGCAATGACTTATGCACATGATTAAATTTGCATACATGCGTAGTCCCAAGTCTTTGCAGGCTCAAGAACATAGTGCTTGCTACTGTGAGTAACAGACTTTAGTGTCAAGTATCAGGGGGTAGCCGTGTTAGTCTGTATCTACAAAAACAACAAGGAGTCTGGTGGCACCTTAAAGACTAACAGATTTATTTGGGCATAAGCTTTCGTGGGTAAAAACCTCACTTCTTCAGAAACTAAATTCCCAGTAGTAAGCACTACACCCAGTAGTATTTGTAGACTAAGGCTTTCTGACTGAGTGCAACAGAACTGAATTTTTCAGTGCAGTCCATACTCTTGTGTTTGATGGTGCCACATAACTCTCATTTTTGCTCTCTGGTCTAGAGGTATAGCAAGTGGGGTCTTTTATTCATGATTCTTTCTGTCAACCCAGCTCTTTCATTGTCATCTTCACTGTTTTTGCCCTACATAATACATGCATATAGATTTTATTCCTTTCATCTGGCATCCCAACTTAGTTCCAATATTTAAAATAACGTATATACAGTGTGATAATGATTTTTGTTTACACTCTGCCAAAATGTAGACTTTAAAATTAGACCTCTAAGGTCCAAAATCATCTTTGAGGTAAATGCTTGCTCCTTCAGGGGTCGGTTTCAGAAAGAAAAAAGAAAAAATATGACCAGAGGGAGAAATCAGAAATCAGCCTAGGTAGGGCTGTTGATCACAAGCAGAGCATGTCATTGTTAGTGATGTATTTTTATGCTATGGAACTCTAACCTGTATGTGTCATATTGACTTTTTGCTGCATGAATCATACACTATAAAAATCAGTCTTATTGTTTTGAGACGTAGCCAACATTTGTAAGGCTAAACCTTTTTCAGTGACAGAATCAAAATCAGCAACCAAGGAACATTCTTCTCTCTCTCTCACTGTGAGAGCAGTTAAAAGTGTCCAATACTTGTCTTTTCACTAACGTAGAGGCTCCAGGACCTAAACAAGCTCTTAATTTGTCCTGTTGTTGTAATAATATGGAACTGTTTACCAGCTGTTTCCTTTTGATATTGCTATGATATGATCCCTATTTAAATTTTATATAGAGAAATTTTATTCTAGTGCAATAGAGATTTATTTTCCACGTAAAGATTCAAAGTAATGTGAGCACATCTTTTTACAACAGAATAATCTTGTTTTAAAAAAAAAGGTTTGGCCTTATCACAAAGTTTTACCGTGTTGTATAAATGTTTAGCAAATGCAAAGAGTATGCATTTCTTGTGTGTATCCACATTGACTGCTGTCGCCTTCAAAAGCAATATTGTGCAGGTAAAAGTTTTTTGTGACTGTCCATTGCACAGTTTACCTACTTTAAAAGCTAACCCTATTTATGCACAAGACAATCAAATGTAAATCTGCATCAGCCAGATGGTGTAGATTAAATTTGTTTAAATTACTGAGCACAATGTAAAACATTAAAAGACACTTTATTTAATTACACATTTAATGTTGGTATAAATAATATCAGGGCATGAACTAGCTGACACACTGTAATTTCTTTTTCTGTTTTCATACTTTCTTAACTCTTCATTTTTGATTTGTTCACAACTACATCAAATTAGTCTTTCATGCCATTTCTTTAAAAAAGACAAAAGGTTAACTTTTTTTATTGTTATCGTTGGTTTCATGCCCTGAGGGTAAGACAAACATTACACGGTATAATGAGAGACAGTACTTTGGATGATGTATTTTTTTGCAAACAGGAGTAAGTGATATGCTATATCAGTAATATTTTTTCAGCCTAAAATATATATATATTAAAAATCTGTGACCGCAAATCTTTTAAACTATCCGAAGAGAAAATTTGTATATTTGGGAGGAGAATAATTTTTACATAGCTTTTGTATGCAGATATTCAAATGTAATTATGAATATAGTGGGCCTAGATAACTGTGTAAGCTTGAATTCTAAAATGAAAAAGCTTATAACTGAACTGTTTTCAGTCTCTCTCTTTTTTCTTCCAGAATGTTTAATCTGGGCTGTTACGTAGTTGTAAAGTGCTATGCAGTGCTACACTGGGAATGATGGGGTCTAAGCCGAGCCTTATATTGCTCCCCAACCTGTTCACACTTCTGTTCTTTTAGGCTTTTCCCATCATATATAATCTCTCCTCTCATATACACTCTCTCCTACAATGGTTCTGATTCTCCTCTTGTTCACACCAGTTTAACTTAATTTACTTCAGTGGACTTACTCCTGATTGACATTAGTTATGTTTTAAAATGAATACCATAGACCCAGAGGAGTTAGATTAAAAACACATAAATACTCTTGCTGGAAGGCTGCAATGTAACACTACTGTATTTCTGAGAATTCAGACCAATTACACATAGGGCTGTCAAGTAATCACAGTTAACTCAAGCGATTAACACAAAAGAAATTAACTAGATTAAAAAAATTGATTGTGATTAATCGCAGTTTTAATCGTACTGTTAAACAATAATAGAATACCAATTTACATTTATTATGAATATTTTTGAAGGTTTTGCTACAGTTTCAAATATATTTATTTCAATTACAGTACAGAATACAAAGTATACAGTGCTCACTTCATATTATTTTTATTATAAATAATATTATTCAGTTCACCACATACAAGTACTGTAGTGCAATCTCTATCATGAAAGTGCAACTTACAAATGTAGAATTATTTTTATATAACTGCACTCAAAAACAAAACAATGTAAAACTTTAGAGCCTACAAGTCCACTCAATCCTACTTCTTCTTCAGCCAATCACTCAGACAAACAAGTTTGTTTACATTTACAGGAGATAACGCTGCCTACTTCTTATTTACAATGTCACTTGAAAGTGAGAATAGGAATTCACATGGTGCTAGATATGCTAAACATTCGTATGCCCCTTCATGCTTTGACCACCATTCCAGAGAACATGCTTGCATGCTGATGATGCTGGTTAAAAAAGAATGTGTTGATTAAATTTGTGACTGAACTCCTTGGGGGAGAATTGTATGTCTCCTGCTCCATGGTTTTACCCACATTCTGCTACATGCAGATCTGACAAAATGCAAAGAAGGTACCAATATGAGATTTCTAAAGATAGCTACAGCACTCCACCCAAGGTTTAAGAGTCTGAAATGTCTTCCAAAATCTGAGAGGGACAAGGTGTGGAACATGCTATCAGAAGTTTTAAAAGAGCACCACTCCGATGTGGAAACTACAGAACCTGAACCACTAAAAAAGAAAATCAACCTTCTGCTGGAGGCATCTGACCCAGATGATGAAAATGAAGGTGCATTGGTCTGCACTGCTTTGGATCATTATCAAGCAGAACCAGCCTGTCTCACTTTCAGGTGACATTGTAAATAAGAGGCAGGCAGCATTATCTCCCATAAATGTAAACAAACTTATTTGTCTTAGTGATTGGCTGAACAAGAAATAGGACTGAGTGGACTTGTAGGTGCTAAAGTTTTCCATTGTTTTGTTTTTGAGTGCAGTTATTTTTTTAACATAATTCTACATTTGTAATTTGCACTTTCATGATAAAGAGATTGCATTACAGTGCTTGTATGAGGTGAATTGAAAAATAATGTTTCTTTTGGGTGGGGGGTTACTGTGCAAATATTTGTAATCAAAAATAATATAAAGTGAGCACTGTATATTTTGTATTCTGTGTTGTAATTGAAATCAATATATTTGAAAATGTAGCAAAACCTCCAAATTTTTATAATTAATTTAAATTGGTATCCTATTATTGTTCAACAGTGCAATTAAAACTGCAATGAAGCACAACTTTTTTTTAAAACTTGCAATTAATTGCAATTATTTTTTCATTGTTTGGCAGCCCTAATTACATGCAAGATCCCAAAACCAGAGAAAGACAAAGCAGGCTGCTCCCTAAAAAAACAAAGAGGCACAACTCACCCCATCTTACTCTAGGCTGGGTAGCTGCAAACTGATCCTACACTTCCCTACAAAGCCCTCTCACCTGCAAACACTACCAGAAACACCCCCACTCCCATTCTTAAATTGCTAGCTTGCAATTTCAAGACAATCCTCAGTATACCACATTCCAAGTCTAGACAGTGCAAGTGTGAGAGGAGAATGAGATCCCCTGTCTGCTCACACACCCCATTTCTCTCTCACATGCACACACTCCCTCTCTTCCCTGTTGGTGCTGCTTCTCTTCTTTCACTCTCTCGCTCTCTTTTTCCATCCTTCCCCTTTCACAAGCCTTCTGTCTTTCCCTTCTCTATCTCTCTTTTATCTACCTCATGGGGATGGGCTAGACCTGGAGATTGTAGTGGATATAGTTTCCCAATACTTCCTGATGGGACCTACAGGTTAGGATGTAGGTTCAGGGTGCTTGGCACAGGCTTTCCACTGGCTGAGTCTGGTCTCAGGATAATGGTCCTGGTTCCCCCAGACCCCGACAGCATCCCTGGTGCCAAGAATCTCCAGCAAGATACTGAGCTTTGTCAACTTCTACTGATGTAGGTGCCCAGCCCTTTGCAGGGTCAGGTCTTTCATGCCCATGTGCACCTAAAGGGTCTGCACCTGCTCCCATTGCCATCCATGGGAACAGGACCGGGCCCTTAAGGAAAAGGACAACATTTTCAAATTTGGTACCTAAAGTTAAGCATCTAAATCCATATTTAAGCATCTAATTGTAGGTACCCAAGTTTGAAAATTTTGGCCAAGATCCTTTGAAGCGCTGAGGTGATGTCAGTAATGAAGGAGGGTGCTCAGCACCTCACAGGCTCAGCCCATGCACGAAGGGGAAATAAGGGGAACCTTTTACCAGTAGCGACTGAATTATTTGCTGCCTAACACCTTGGTTATATGTATCTAAAATACAATTATGCCCAAGATAAAATTGCTGCTATTTACATAGCTCATTTCAGTTGGTTATTTCTGAAGTTTCTGCTGCGTTGAGCTTTGTTGTTTTAACTGGTGAATTCGCTGTTTGTCACAAAAAGAGCTCAAATTGGATCAAATACCAGCACCGGCAAATAGGAGCGTGATGTTCATTTGCGGGCAAAATTGGTGTGTGGGTGTGTCTGTGATTATATATATAAATAATTACATTACAAAATTAAAAGCATGTTAAAGTGGCAAATTCACCACCTAAAAGTTAGGAAATGTCAGTATTAAGGGTGCCTGTGCAACCTTAATTCAGCCTCCGTGAGTGTATGCACTAAGAGGCAGTCTTGAACTACATGATCACATACTTGCTTGTACATTAACATCAATGGGAGAGGCTGGGTGCTCATCCCTTTTGAACACTGGGCCACTTGTTTCTGTATCTAAATATGGAATTGGAAGCCTAACTTCAGGTATCTATTTTTTTTTAATCTTGGTCTCATGTGTGTGTGTATGTGTGTATATATATATATATATATATAGGCCACTATTTTTAGCAATGTAAATTGTATCAAAACACCTCACCCTTACTCCAAAATAAGAGTGTCTTCAGACAGACTTTCATGGGCACTAACTAGATGTACATTACAACCGATTCAGTTACTTTGGTTCCAGTTTCCATAGAGTGTACACATTGCTTTGAGCAACACCGTACTGATGGACAGCCAGGGGACACTGTTATCATTTTAATCGGATTGGGAGCAACACAGACTGTATTCTGTGAGTCTTAAGGTGCCTGGGTTTTTTACGAAACGAGAGAGGGAAATGTTTCTCAAATATATTTGTCATCTCACGTTACTTCTTTACTTTGAAAATTAAGTGAATGGGTTGATTGGTTGGTTTTTCATAAAAGTAGATTCCCTTTCAAAATGGATCTCACAGTAACGTCTCTGTCGTTGGGGAGAGCATTTACCCTGCAGTTGTTGACTGTAGCTGCCTTAACAGAAACTGTCACAGAAGCAAATGATTTTCCAGGAATAACCTGACCATTTGACAGACTCAAAGAGCAATTTTTGAATGAGGGCAAAATATAGCAAATAAATTATATAACCGTATGACTCACGTGATATATTAACATTGCAATCATTTTATTAGAGCCATGCCCAGCAGCACAGCCCTAGTTAAGAGTTTCCAATTTAAAATAAATCCTAATTTAATTGCATCTGGCTGGAATGCTGCATACATAGGGTATCTATCCAGGTGCCAATTTTTATTGTTGTTGTTTTGATGAAGATTAGTTATAATCAGCTCAGTTTTAAAGTCATAAAGTCAACATATAAAGATGGTATTTTGAGCAGATGTCGATGCTCTTAAACCAAATCTAGACATTTTTTTAAAAAATATGGTTCTTAGAATAATTTCCATAGATTATACTCTTGTACGTACACTAGGGGTCACTTTCTGCCATCCTTGTTCACGTTCAGTAGTGATTCACTCCCTGAGTATTCCCATTGGTTCCAATGGAATCACTATGCACTCTGAGTAAGAATCTGTCCCTAAAGGCTGATTCTGCCATGGTGCTGACCAGTTACTTGGAGGCGTTGAGCACCCTCAACTCCCATTGTGACCATATCTAGGCTCGGAACATCTGCTCCTGTCCCCCAGGCTTGACCACAACCAGCTAACATGTTTTTAAAGATAATGTGCCCTGTCTAAAGGTCCTGTTTAAAATCATGTCATCAGGAAGCTAAAGCATTTTAAAACAGGCCCCGTCTTCTTCAGCTAGACATGACCTGAGTGAGAATATCTCAGTTTAGCACCACACACAACTGGGTTCCAAATGGTTTTCCATATGTTAACAGATGGGGGCAAGGAGGTAATAGGTAGGGAAGAAACAGTTTAAAGTGGCTAGCTGTTAACCTTTGAAAAACAACAGCTGTGGGTTCACACGACTGGTGGAGCGAAATGTTCAGCAAAAATATTAATGTTTAGAGCTTGACATTTCCAAATTACACTGAGCTGAATATTTAAAAAAAAAATACATGTGGTAGTTGAACAACCCCAAA